CACAAACTTTTCAGAATTACTTTACATGCATTAAGACTGCAGCTAATTTCATCATCCATCAATCTGTTTTTCCATAAAATGGCAAAAAAACAAAACAAATTATATTATGCCTATTATAATTTTCTAGAGGTCAAGGTCAATCATGTGGGGCTAAAGCCTCTTTTACACAGCCTGTTCATGGCAGGAATGTCAAGCTGTTATTCCACCTCGCCATTCTGTATAAAAAAGTATGATCAGGGAATGGGGGGACGGCTTCATCTCGCCTTTAAAGGGCCAGTGTGTAATATTTGGCATGGTTTATTGTCAGTCTGAATCTGAATCTGAATATTTTACCCATTAATATATTTATACAAGTGTATGATCGCTATAAAATAAAATTCGTTTGGTTTTCGTAGCCTTATAATTATGCTTTAATATATATATATATATATATATATATAGCAAAGGCCTTGCTTTACAGAGGTCGCCATCTTGCGCCGCCATGTATGTACGGCAGACCGAGTGGACAATCCAGCCAGCCAGAGAACGCGTTTCGCGTCTATAAATGAACCAACGAAGACAGTGAAAGGAAGGAAGAAGGATGAGGAAACAGCAGAGAGTGTTAGTAGTTCATCGATAGAGAGTAGTGAAAAGTTTTTTTAGTTATAAAGTTTGCGAATGGACCACACTTACCACGCAACAGGAGAGAATGAACCCGAACCGTCATCTGCGAGGAAAAGAAGACGCAACTTCACTCCTTGTGATGCACTCTCTGCGGCGCTTTTCCTCCTGATGATATATCTCCCCAACGATGGTAGCAGTAGCACCGAATCCCATTCTGTGCATTCAGCCTCTCTTCTCGCCCGCTCAGCATCAAACACATGGAGTTCCTCATCTGTATGCTCCGGCTCAAACAGGTATGGCTCTGGGTCTGTGTCCGCTACAAGAAACTCTTCAAAATCGCGTTCAAAGTCGTCCATTGCAGCTACTATAGTCCGGAGATATTGCTAGGCTAAATAAACAGCTGAGCTCTGTTTACAGGCTACGCTGTCAGTCAGTGTGCGGGCTGGAGGTTGGCGGAGCAGAGAGGGGAGGGGGGTCCCCACTCGGTATGGTAAACGAGTATGTGTGTATGGTGTGTGTTACGCTAGAAGAGTCAGAGTTTGGGACGGAGTCTTTTACCCCCTGGAGTGTTACCGGAGTTTTTGGAGTGCTCAAATTAACTGGCCTTTTTCCCGAACGCTCCTCTGGTCTCCTGCTCGTGAGGGATTCATTACAATATCGTAACATGGTTTAGATTTCTAAATAAACATTCACCTCGTCGCTAGATAGACCTACTCCTGAAAAACTCGTGTGCAAGGCTTTTTGTCCCTACGAGGCCACCGTCATTTACCCAACGGGAGGGGTGAGCGAGTGAGCCCTGCAATCTAGAATTTGACCACTGATGTCACTGTTTTCAACCCATTTTACACACTGGGCCTTTAAGCCAACAGCAGCGGTAGTAACAGGGTTGAATAGTCATACCTGTTACACCTCTTTTGCTTCTGGAATATATATATTTACTTTGCTGTGAGACAGCCCTGTCTGACAGGCAACCGAAGCTGTTATCTTAAAGCCACCAGACTCCACTGACAAAAACAGTCATGACAGAACACTGCAGCTGCTGGTCTACTGCTGCCAGTGTGTACGGTGAAGCTGTGAAAATATTCCACATATAGCGTACACTTTTGCCTTTAAGTTTTTATTAATTAATTTTAAACAGACAAAAACAACAGAAACAACAAAACTGACACATTGTTCCAAGTGATGCAAACGAGATACACAGTAACCATGAGTCAGTAAAAGAAAATTACCAAAAAAATAAATAAAAAAACACAACAAACCCCCAATTTGAAAAAAAAAAAGAAAAAAAAAAAAGGCAGCAATAACGTATCAGTTTTACATCTCATGAATATCACAGAGCTTATACATATATATGTAGAGACGCATCAACCCAGGAGCTTCGGCCAATCTCTAAAATCAATACCAATACCGCCGCTATGGCCGACAGCAGATACCCACCAACAACGACAGTATAGCGTACACTTAAACTGATAACTGATTTTTTTAGGTGGCTAAAATCCATTTTTCTACGGCACCCATCCACAGCAGTACATTGCTTAGCTTCCGTGCTGGTAGATTTGTTTATCAAAGATGCTAACATGCTAACAACAGCAGGATGAAAGCTGAAGTGTTTGGGGCTACATTATCTGCTCAGATTCAACTAAATGCTTCAAAACTCATTGGACAATGCTTCACAGTGCAGTTGGACAACGACCTGAAGCATATTGCAAAAGCAACCAAAGACATTTTTAAGGCAAAGAAGTGGAATGTTCTGCAATGGCCAAGTCATATCATCTGACCTGAATCCAACTGAGCATGCGTTTCTCTTGCTGAAGCCAAAACTGAGGGCAAAACACCCAAAACACAAGCAGGAAGTGCAGACGGCTGCAGTAAAGGGCTGGCAGAGCATCACCAGGGAAGAAACCCAGCATCTGATGATGCCTATGTGTCCAACACTTCAGGCAGTCATTGACTGTAAAGGATTTGCAACCAAGTATTAAAACTGACTGTTTAATTGATGATTATGTTAGTTTGTCCAAATACTTATGAGCCCTTAAAGTTGGGGGACTGTGTGAAGAAATGGTTGTCATTCCTACACGGTTCATACTACATTTTTGAAAAAAGCCTTAAATGAAAGCTGAGAGTCTGCACTTTAAGCAGGTATTCATTGTTTCATTTAAAACCCACTGTGGTGGTGTACAGAGCCAAAATGATGACAGCTGTATCATTGTCCAAATAATTATGGACCTGACTGTATGCAAATAGCTCCAAAGAAAGCAAGTTGACATTGACTTTGATTCTTTTTTTATTTATTCTTTTTTTTTTTCCGGCAAACCATTGTTTCCAAGGTCAAGAATGAACTTTCACACCGTAACCGAAGTGTTTTCTTCATCATTTATTTATTGTTTTACCTCATAGACAAAATCAGCTTCATGTTGAGGTCGAACACGTCTCAGTACAACTGCAGTACAAGGTGCAAAGAACCTGATATGTTTGAACCAAGTGTTTGGTACCCATGATATGAGAAACATGCATTACAATGCCCACAGAGATCATACATACACACACGCAAATTAAGGACTTACATCATTATCTGTAAAAGCATTTGGTGCAATCAAGTCTTTTGGGAAATTTTTTGGACCTGAGGGGAAGACAGAGACGTCACGAGAGGATTGACGTAAGCTCGCTGGGAGTTCACATCCAGGCTCTTCATCACACCACAGTGAATTCATAATTTGGCATGAAATTCAAGTTATTTTCATGTACCGAAAATGTTTTTGGTTTAAATCAAACAAAATGAGTTGCTGTCAAATAACATCCACGGCTTCCAGCTATTAAAATAACTCATATTCCTTTATTTCTTATTTTATGTTATTTTGTTTGTTTCATTCAACAACAACAAAATTGTTTCCAAATGTCTGTGTTTAAAAAGATGCATAACTCGTTTCATAATCAACACAAAAGCTGAGCAGATCTGTTCAAATTATTAAAACTTTCTGGAATGAATCATCTATGAAATTTTGTTTGTTAATTTGGCAAACAGATTTAACAGAATGGATAGTAGGTGGAGTGCAAAATAGCCTTAAAAATCTCTGCAGATGTGGGCTGATATCAAGTGAGACAAAAAGATAATGAAATGCATCTAAAAAAGCATTGATTAAATTGGACTATTCAAACTACTATAAACAGAGCTATTAAAAGCAAATTGTTGTACTACAGTTAAATAAACTGATGAATCTTCTCTATTTTCTATCCTCTTAAAAAGTTTTCCATGAATTTAATGGCTCCTGAACCTGTTTTTTCAGTCAACTTTCAGTCAACTTTAGATGTGAGATCAACAGCATCCATCTTCTTACTTGTACATGTTGGGTTGGTTTCATCAAACCAAGTAACAGGCTTCAATCATTTTTCATCAAAGGCCTCTGCCAGACTGAGACCAGTGCAGGTGTTTGTGTAGGTGTTTGAGTGTGAATGTGAGAAGAAAGAAAAAAAAGACAAGGAGAAAGTGTCTTGATCACGCCAAGAGCCAGGGGCAGGAATTAAATCCTCATTATGATCTGGCACCACCACCACTTTCTCCCTGTATGTGTGTGTATATGTGTGTGTGTGTGTAGGTCTACATGGCACTAATAATACAACTGCACAGTAGCAACATGAGTTATGTTTGAAGATCACAGACCGACTGCAGAAAAGGCTTTTCCCTGCATATTTATGTCTTAGGCAGCTAATCAAGTGTAAGCAAAAATAACATGCATAAAACCTGCTTTTTAAAAGTGAACAAGCAGCATCGCATACAGTCACTTTAAAAGTACAGCCAGTGGTAACAGAAATAACTTCACTGCAGAATGAGCTGTTTTTGTAATAGGAGCAGGATGCACATCAACCATGCACCACAAGACAGTAGAAGTTCCCTTTAAAATGTCATTTGTTTATTATTTTAATCTGAGAAGTGAGCCAAATGTTTAAAGGAAAAGTTCCACATTTTTGGGAAATATGTTTCTTTGCTTTCGAGCTAGGGGTTAGATGACAAGATTCATACCACCAGTTCAGTCAAACTTAATTATCAAGATGCAACAGATGTTGTTTTGTGTCTCTTTGATGTAATTTTGTGTCTTTCTGGGATATTTTGTGTCTCTGATGTAATTTTGTGTCTTTTTAGATAGTTTGTGTCTCTTTGATGTAATTTTGTGTCTTTTTTTTGGATATTTTGTGTCTCTTTGATGTAATTTTGTGTCTTTTTAGGATATTCTGTCTCTTTGATGTAATTTTATGTCTTTTTTTGGACATCTTGTGTCTCTTTGGTGTAATGTTGTGTCTTTTTGGATATTCTGTGTCTCTTTGATGTAATTGTGTGTCTTTTTTGGATATTTTGTGTCTCTGATGTAATTTTATTTCTTTTTTTGATATTTTGTGTCTTTTTTAAGTAATTTTGTTTCTTTTTTTGGATATTTTTTGTCTCTTTGTAATTTTGTGTCTCTTTTGGACATTTTGTGTCTCTTTGATGTAATTTTGTGTCCTTTTTTTGGATATTTTGTGTCTTTGATGTAGTTACGTGTCTTTTTGGATATTTTGTGTCTTGAAGTAATTGTGTGTCTCTTTGTGGTTGTTTTGCTCTCTTCAGTAGTTATTTTGTGTTTCTTTGCAGTTCCTTAGTGTCTCTTTGTGGTCATTTTGAGTCTCTTCCTGGTTGGTACAAGTTCATTTAAATGACATTTTGCAGATGAAGAACAGGGGGGCCCTAGGCTGGTCCCCAGTAGGCTCCTTTAGTAATATATATAATACATTATTCAGTAATACATCCATGGATATGATATGTTAATGAGTAAACTGGAGCTAGTAGGAGGACTTTGTTATCTTTGGATAGAGCCAGGAAAACTGTTTCCCCCTGTTTCCTGTCTTTGTGCTAAGTTAAGCTAAACAACTGCTGGCTGTAGCTTCATATTTACCTGTCCTTCAGTATAAATGGACCTGCATTTGTATAGCGCCTTTCTGGTCATCCAACCACACAAAGCGCTTTAATATTACATGTCGCATTCACCGTAGGAGGTGCTGCCTGCTACTCAGCTTAAATATACTCACACTCCCATGGAACAGCAATCGGGAACAACTTGGGGTGCAATATCTTGCCCAAGGACACTTGCGCATGTGGACTGGAGGAGCTGGGGATCGAATCACCGATCACCACAGCCATCAAATGTAAGGCATTCTGCCCACAATTTGGGTGGTGTCATGTTTGACTGAGATGTGTTTCAGCATATAAATAACCAAGGTAGTGCAATCATTCTTTCTTCAAATCAGAAACATTGCAAAAGTTCAACATTATTTATCTCAAGCAGACCTTTAAAAAGTCACCCATGCCTTCATCTCATCAAGATTGGATTACTGTAATGCCCTGTATTAGGGGCTCAACCAAAAGGCCAGTTCCTGTCTCCAGCTTATTCAAAACTGCCTGACTTATAACAAATTTCAAGAGACAAAACCACATCACCATTGCCCTTGCAAAGCTACAATGAGTACCTGTTGGGTATAGCATTGGGTTGGGTATAGCATATACTGATACTTTTTAAGCCCTACATGGCCTTGCTCCTACATACATTATAGATTTATCCCTGCGCTCCTCAGGTAGGAACCTCCTAACTGTTCCCACAGCCCATCTAGTTACAAAAGGAAACTACATATTTTCCTGTTAGAGCCCTGCAGCTGTGGAACTCCCTACCTGAGGAACATAAGTTAGCAAACTCAGTATTTTGTTTTAAATCTCTCCTTTCTACAGAAAGGCTTTTTTTAACAGTAAATCTGCTGTTTGTCTAGTTTATATTCCTTTTTTATTTTTTATTGTACGCATTTTTATTTGTTGTAATTTATGTTTCTGCTATTTTTATCCTGACTGTGTATATTATTTTATCTTGTTCTGTAAAGCAATTAGTAATTTATTTTTGAGCTATACAAATTCAGTTTATTATTATCATTAGTATTATTATTATTTAGACATGAGAGTAGTACCAATTTTCTTATCTAGCTCTCAGCAAGAAAGCAATGATGCATGTTTCCCAAAATGTCAAACTATTCTTTTAACTTGAAGTCTGATTTTTAATGACTGACCACATACAAAATTTTATATGTAAAATATTGTAATACCTTTAAAAAATATAAAGCCACAGACTGGTGATATTACAAACCATAATTACGTTGTTTTTTTTAAACTGGCCCACAATTCATTTTAAATACATTCATGAAATATAATTAAATGTTTCGCCATTTAAAAAACAGCCAATCAGATTGTTGCCTTTAAAATAAATAGACTGTTAACGGTTTATACAAAGTAGCAACACAAAAAAGTAAAATAAATAAAAAGCATTAGATGCCCAGCGAGCTAAAAGGAAAAAACTGACCTGTGACTAAAGCTAACATATCTATCTCTCTCTCTCCCTCACACACACACACACACACACACACACACTCACTTATTGCATTTAATCACATCGGACATGCACACATGTGATGTTTGACATGATGTAGAGCTTGTCAGGCTGCAAAGTGGAACATGCAGAGGCTATTTAAACAACCACCACAGACTGACGAGATGTCTGAATCCTAACTGGCTTGCTGGCCAACTGACTACCTGAGTTACAGGCCTTTGATTGATTGATTGACTCTCTAACACAATAAGTGACTGATTACCACCAATCAAAATAAAAGCAATTGGCTGAAGAGTGCCTGAAACTGACAACTTAGTGACAGATTGAATGACAGGTTTGTTAACTACACAGCTCAGCAATCCTTCTCCGATTACTGGAGGCTAGAGGTTACATTTGTACAACACGTACTGTCATTTCATTCGCAACAAAGATGTGAATTCATGCGCTACAAAGCAACTAAAATCAACAGGGTAAATTTCACATCCAATCCGACTGTGCAAAGATAACACACATTTATATATGATGACGGAGGAACAGGAGGGATGAGAGTATTGTGACTCTGGTGAAGCTGTGTTAACAGATGCAAGACGGCAACATGCTAGTAAAAAGATAAATATTTTAGAGCACAAGTCGACACACAGAGCATGCATTGCTGTTTGGGGAAACCCAGCACGCTGTACATACCGTGTGTATGTACCTCAGTTGGAAACAACCTCAATTATTAATATTCACTTTTCAGGCGCTGAAACTCAATAATTATGTTTGGTCCAACAGTAACTACAGGGTGTGTGTGATACAGCAGGTAGTTAACCTCTTCCACTAATAGAAAAACAACATCACATATGTTTAAATAATCACTGCAGCTATAAAATGCTGAAGGGAAACATGATGCAGAAGAAGAACTGAGTCCATGTAGTTCTGTTGATGGCTCTTTAGGGTGGATGTTGATGCAAACCTGCTAAATATTTCAAGAAAGTAAAGGTACTGGTGTCCTCCCCATATTCATTCAGCAGTGAGCAGAAACAGCTACAGAAAACAGAAAAATATCATATTAAATAAATGAGTATTTCAATAACTACTGCAAAATATATCTGCAAAAGGCCCACTGCTTTCATTGCGTGCTAACTGTGTGTCATGTTCACATTTTGGGTCGGCAACAGCTTGTTTTTCGTGTGTCAAACTCTACTGCAAATGTAACTGGCTGACACCTGGAGTAAAGCAATTAATACCAGTGACTCACAGGCAAAATCTCCCCCTCCATCTTTCCCATTTCTCTCCCGCTCTCCTTCTCTGCTCACAACTGGAAGCTTTCAGCAGGAAAACCCGCTCTTTAATAATTTGTATTCATGTGTCATTGCGCTGGCTACGGGCACTTTTGGCTCTCAGATATGGCTGCTGATCCAACAGGCGCACTAAAACACCATCAACTGAAATGCAACGAAACAAGCATGACAGTCGAAAAACGAGTTATCAGCAAAAATAATCAGCTAACAGCAAACACACAGCGACACGTGTAAAACGTTACACCGACGGTACCGTGTGAGCAACAGCCTGAGAGAGCAAAATGTGTTAGTGTCTCACATGCATGGATGGATAATGAGACGATGGGCCCCTGGGCACAAACAAGTAAAAGCCCCCCGTTCCTCCTACATAGGAGCAAGACCCAAGACTGAGAGAGACTTTTTCTATTTCTCTGTTTCAGGGCTGCAACCAGCAGTTATTGTCATTGTTGATTACTTTCTTGATTAAGTGATAAGTTGTTTGGTCTATTAAATATTAGAAAATTCCCAAAGCCTAAGATGATGTCCTAAAATGTCTTACTTTGTCCACCACTCAAAGACTTTCAGTTTAATGTCATATAGGAGTAAAGAAACCAGCAAATATTCACATTTAAAAAGCTGGAATTAATTTTAAATTACTCAAACCAATTCATCGATCATCAAATTAGATGGTGAAAAATGTTATAGTTGACGACTCATCAATTAATCATTGCAGCTCTACTGTCTGTGGTCATTTTGTGTGTCTTTGTGGTTGTTTTGCATCTCTTTGTGGTCATTTTTGCACCTGCCTGTGGTCATTTTGTATCTCTTTGTGGTTGTTTTGAGTCTCTTTGTAGTCTTTTTGCATCTCTGTGGCCATTTTGCAATCCTTTTAGGTCGTTCTGTGTCTCTCTGAGGTCACTTTGCATCTGTCTCTGGTTGTGTCTGTTTATTGTGGTTTAGTCTCTTTTCTCTCTCGTTGTGACCGTTTAAATCACTTTTCATAAAGAAATGTTGACAGTCACTTCACACAGAAGCTCTGGCCCAAGCGCCCAAGATGTTAGAGGCCCCAGCAGGTGCTTTCATGCAACATGCAGCACACATACACCCACTCACACATGCACATAGATCCCGAGGCTGGCTAGTGGCTAACATATGTTCATTGTGGTTGAGTAGCAACAACCTGTTTGGCACTAAGATTACTGACCTCCTCCTGCTTTTCTCCAATGTTTCCTCGCAGCAGGAGAGACGAGCTTCAAGTCTTCCACGTCTTTGTTTGAGTATGTATGTTTGTTTATTGTAAATCCGTCTGAAGAGCAGATATGCGTCTGCTGTCACCATGTGTTAATGTATGTGTCTAACAGCCCAAATCCCCACCGCCACGTCAGAACAGTTGTAGTAACACGTCAGGTCCCCAGTCCATAGCTGTCTGAGCCACTGCGAACACGGCCGCCCCGAGCGTAGCGGACAGCCCCCACACTGCCATCTTCACCATCTTGTTCCCCTTCCCCCACAGCTGGCCTCGGTCTCGGGGCAAAGCTGCTTCCAGACCTGTGTGTCGAGAGGCTAGGAGCACAGAACAAGGAGGAGGGGTCAGACTGTGAGGAGCGGAGACATGCAGGGGTCAAGAGGATTCATGAAGCTGGAAGCTGAACCAAAAGGAGGATCAAGCTGCATTCTGTTACTAGGACTGAAAACAAAATGGGGGTCAAGGGATGTCAAAACACACGGAGCAGAGAGAAGGAGGGGGCAAAAGTGTTAAATAACCAATCCTGCTCCATGATCTTTACTAAGCAGCGCTCTCACTTTAATTAACTAGAGGCCCAAATAGTTATAAACTCCACTTAAAGTTTCACTTCACACATCAGCCAACATTCCTCCCATGTAGACAGCAGGTTGTCTCTTACTGACTCCCATTTATTGTCTGTTATGCACCTCATCCTGAACGCTGCTAATTGAATTTTGATGAAACTGCAGGGAATGATGTGCATCAATTTTAATATTACACTGTTTGGCCTGAGGGGAATATTACAGCATATTTTTTGATTGCCTGTACATCACAGACAATATGTCAGACACCTCTGATCAGATTGCCAGAAAACCAACGGGAATAGAGCTGCTCTTTGTTCTGTTCTGGCATATTTAAATATGCACTTGATTGGTCTGATGGGTGTATTACATCAGTTGTTTACTTGTTATTGATTGGCCCAAAGGGGGCAGCGTTTGTGGGGGATGACATATTTATTGCCTTGTTCTGAGGAGTTGGGTTCCTCACTAAGGCACCAAAAAATGTGGAAAAATGTGAACCTATCAAACAAATTTCATGTTTGAAATATTTGTTTTTTACAATCTCACAGTCGATAGTCACTCATCCCAAACTTCAAAGAGCATCCAACAATAATTCACTTTTATTTCACTCATCTGCACGTGTGTCTGTGCTGTCTGTGCATCTGCAGTCCTTCTTCAGAGTCAGTAATAAAATTATAGTTACTATTTTTACCTTGTCTGGAGGTGGTGGAGCCCTGGGCCTTGGTGAGGCGTTGGAGAACAGAGTCGGGCCTCTGGTGGAGGGTGGAGAGCTGAAATGCTTGGAAGGTGCTGATTGACAGGCTGCAGAAAGATAACAGAGGAAGGGAGGGATGGAAAGAGGAAGGGAGAGTTAGTCAGAGTCGGGTTTAAGGTGAAGCACGGACAGCTGGTTTGACATGAAGGGATGGATTGAAGGATCAGCTGATGGATAAAGACGTGCGAGCGGAAAAGTGAGAGGCAACGTGGGAGTTTTGCTAACTCAGTCGCTCCTGTATATAGGAAGCTATAGGAGTAATGCATTATGGGACATCGTTTAGTCAAGGTCTTGTGTAAGTGATGTCACTTCCTCTCCTGAACAATGACTGTGAGTAACACTGAAGGACAAAGAGAGGGAGACTGATGAAGAGAAAATGGATACACTGAGAGAAAGTGTAGTTGTGCATCTAATGTTTCCTCCTCAACAATAAAAACACACACACACACACACACACACTAAATGGTCTGTGCATGTCAGCAGCACTACATCTGTAAATGTTTGTAGAGCACCCCCTCTTGGTGACTGAGCGAATTACATCACACCTCCAAAAGTCAATATAACTGGTGGAATGTAACAAAATAAATTTACTCAGGTACTGTACTTAAGTTCATATTTGAGGTACTTGTGTTTCACTTGAGTATTTACTTATCATGGCACTTTATACTTCTACTCCACTACAATTCAGAGGGAAATATTGTACTTTTAACTACGCTGCATTTATTTGACAGCTTTAGTTTACAAGATTTTTACACATGAAACAAATTAAGAGTTTATAAAATGTGATGCTTTGTTGAAAATTAAACTACCCAACAGTATATTTTCAATGCAGAGCTGAAGCAATTAATCGATTGACTAAATTGGCATATATTTTGATATTTGTAATTTTCCTTGCAAAAATGAAAAACATTTCATGGTTCTAGTTTCTCAAAGGGGAAAATTTGCCAATCTTTCTTGTAATTACTTTAGTTTATTTTTAATAATTGAGACGGAGAGTTCTGTATTGAATACTTTTACTTTAAACATTTCTAAATACTTAGTTTTACTTAAGTTACACTCACAGTGTGGTATTCATACTTTTCTAAAGTAAAGGATCTGAATACTTTCTCCACCGCTGTTCAATACACACCACCACAAAATATCTGAGTAAACTTGTGGTTGGACTTTTGTATTTGAGTCTTGTGTCTCAAACTGTTGAGCAAAAAAAAGTAAAAGTACAGGAGCAATTTAAGTAATTTATTAGCTGTTTGACCCACACTAACAGACAACAATAGTGATTATGGATCATAATCGTTTGTCATTTATAAGCAAAAATGCCAAAATTTGACAAGTTACAGCTTCTTCAATGTGAACACTTACTGATTTTCTCTGATAAAGTCATTTAAAGATAATATGGGAGAATGTGATGAGCATTTTTTACAGTTTTGTGACATTTTGTAGAATAATCAGTTGATTGTGTAATCAAAAAATCATTTACTGATTCATTTATAATTAATATAAGCCATTGTGCATCAAGCTCTGCCAATGATGGCAAGAGAAAAGTAACATGTGTGCCTGTACTTTTATATTTTGCCAACTTGCCTGGACAGATTTAAGTGAATCGGAATGCAACAAGTAAATTTTATTTATGTAGCACAGTGGGTTTTACATCCTCTGTCCTTAGACCTTTGATTTAGATCATGTAAAACTCAAACATATGGATGAATGTGCTCATAATAATGATTAATACTGAAGTATGTGACCCAGCATGAAATGTTTTTAAGCCTCATGTGTCCATTAAGCACCAATCGCTGATGTGTTCATTGAAAAGTATTAATATTATCATTACTAATATCCATTTTTATTTCAGTTCTTGTCCCCTCACCTCTTGCGAGACTGCAGTGCTGCACGTTTGGCGAGTACAGATGGAGGGTACTGCTCAAAGAGGTCCTGGGCCTGACCAATCAGAAGTTCGTATGGGAGATCCTGGGGGATGCGCGAGAGGAGGTGGTGGACCATGGCCATGTCGCACTCTGTCTTCTTCACCTCCTTCTCTCTGTACAATACAATCTAAAGACAGGAATAGGAGTTAACTCTGAACAAAGTGCACTCTGATTAACCTTGGAGCAAATGTAAATTAGAATCTACATACTGGGCTGCTTCGGTAATACAAGTGAGGCAGTGAAATAGGCAGACGACGAGTTAACCCCCCATGCTGTGCGCTGCACTCAGCCTTGGAGGAAACATGAACTACATTCTGCTTTGTTGTTTCAAACACTTCAAACAGACCTCTCCCTTTGCCCAGCCCCTGCACACAAACACTAAAACATCCTCAACTGCAAACGAGCAAAATGTGCTCAATTGTACAACTAATCAACGTGCTGTTGAAAAGGCCTTTTCACACTCAAACACTCAAAAATAGGATGCATGTACACACACATAAATCACATACATGTTCCAGTAGTTAACATTTTCCACAAAACAGCTGGTGTGAACATACAGAGGAACAAGCTTCACAGAAAAATGAGTGTAAACAGTCACAAATCAAAATGCTTTCCCCTTGTAATCTGCTTCTCCTTCTGAGTCAAACATGAGTCGGCTCTCCTTGTCATTCTGTTTCCTGATGCAGTCCTCGTCCTTTTCCCTCTCTTCCCTCTTTTATCTCTCCCTCTGTAACCCTCTGTCACTCTCTCTCTCATCTGTTCATTAGGAGGTATCTAATTAAATAGTCCAGTGACTCCACAGTACTCTGCCTCACTGTGCGCATGAGTATATGAATGTGTGTGTGTTTGGCAGCATGTATTCACATGTGAGTGTCCTGGATTACTGACAAAACAAAGTCGCTGCCTCTTGTTCATTTCCTGTCGGCGTCTATGCCTTCTTACCGTGGCGGCGAGGTAGATGGGCATCAGTGGGTGTGAGGCTAGGAAGAAGTCGTACAGTCTCATGGTGTGTTTGAAGTCTGACAGCACGTGGCCGTACCATGTGATGAGCCAGGACAGCGCGAAGATCGTTCCCACCTCCGCTCTAATAGAGAAGGCAAATATATGAAGAGATGTAAACAAACACAGGCCACTAACAAGGACTGTTTCTTTTTTATCTTAATATAACCTTTATTTAACCAGGAAAGCCTAGCTGATATATAAGCTCTTTCTCAAGAGTGTCCAGGCCCAGATGAGCAACAGTAAGTTACAGATAACACAAAATACGTAACAAGAGAGCAATATGAAATAAAAATGCAATTATAAAATCACAAAGTAAATGTCTGGTGGGAATAATATGAAGGTATATGTACAGATTACACTGTTTTCCTATCTTCCAGACAGCAAGTGGCTTCAGTTCATTTCAAGCTGCTCACATCAAAAGCGCAAATAACTCTGAATACCGCACACACTGTAATTAAAATGAATAAAACCAATGGCTGCATCGAACACAGAACAATCATTGTGAAAACTAAAGGCACACCAACAGGTGTACAGTAATATCAAGGATAAGCAACTAGTTAGTGGGATAAAATGCCCCCCCAGAAAGTGTATTATCTGGCTAACCTTGGCCAAAAAAATACCTCTACAAATTTAGGGTTCTTACACGAGACAGAATACACCAGTGCAGTTGCAGTGTAGATCCATGTCTTTCCAGACTCATGGAATATATGTAGTGAAGACTTCGAAGGAATTTAATAAAAGTAATGGTGAAATGTAAGTTTTCACTATATTGACATGCATATTTCAAGTAAATAATTTCCAGTGAGAAATATGCCGCCTTCACTTACAGACTATTTCTACAGAGGAGTCATCACACGGTGCAACGACAGTCACCTAAAGCTCAATATCAGCAACACCAATGAGCTTGTGGTGGACTACCAGAGGAACAACAGAACAGAACACAAAGTTGTAGCCATGACAGTAGACAAAGCTTCAAATATGGACATTGCTGCAAAGATGCTACATATTCTAGAACATGGGACACTTCACACACATCTTCAACCCAGCAGCGCAGAAGATCTACACAGTCAGCACAGTTTCAAGGTGAGCGCCCAAGACTAGTGTCACCAATTCAGTTCTTGACCAAATGTCTTGTCTACTGTTCCTGAGTTATGGCATTGAATAATAGCCAGAAACATTGTGATGTCACGATTAACTTGACCTTTGACCTTTTGAATGAAAACCGTAATCACATTATCACTTCCTCCTGTTAGACATTTGTGTGAAATTTTAAACTGTTGACTTATGGCCAAAAACTTGTTTTTTTGAGGTCACAGTGACCTTTGACTTTTGACCACGACACCAAAATCTAATCAGTTCATTGTTGAGTCCAAGTCCAAGCGTTCCCGAGATATTGGTGTATAAGAATGGGACAGACGGACAACCTGAAAAAATAATGCCTCTGTCCGAGGCTGTTTCCGTCACAGAGGCATAAAATAATAGTCAAAGCAGAGGCTGAGATTCGATGACTTTTAATCCCAGTATGGTTCGAGCTCCAGATATGATGCATCTAATGATTCCCAAAATGCAATTCAACTGTGTGTTTTGGTTGGACCCTCCCTGAGAAACATAGGCCTAATGTTTTTTTAAATGATCAATTGAATTGGGTATCGAGAATCATGGATCTCGCTGGTCTTGTTATCGACAACTAAATTTATGGTATTGTGACATGCCTAAATATGACTAGTATTTTTCTTGATTTATAAACTGATCTTAATTTGTTTGGATTAATCCAAGGATGATGAAACACAGCAATTTCTAAAGAACGGCCTTGTGAATTTTAAAGAATAATCCATTTTCTTTACCTTCACATACTGTTTAAAACCCTCCTGTGCACTTCCTCTGTATTTCTTTGTTGTGTGCAGACATAAAGAGGTTGATATTGTTGACAGAGTCTCAAGTAAATTGGATATTCTTAGAGGTAGTTGATAAATATTAGATAGGAACATTCAGGGAGGAAGAGGGATGGGTACAAGAGGAAGTGAGTGACAGGTGAAAGGAAATGGGTGGGAAACGTGATGGACAGGGGGAGGGGTAAAGAGAGGGCGCAAAGGGCAGGGAGCGCGTGTGATGAGAGGGACATAAAAGAAATATGACGAAGTGGGAGAGAGGGTGAAAACAAAAGGAACAAAAAAGAAGTGGGAGCGAGAGAAAAGGGAAAGAAGAAAAGAGGCAGAGATAAGAAGGCAGGTAAGGGGAAGTGGAAGTGCTCACAAAAAAGAACGTTCCAAACTTTGAAGGTGGGTGTTGTTTATCCTGCCGTTTTTCCGAGAGTGCAGTGTCTTGTTCTTTTTTTTTTTGTGCTTTTTGTGTTTGTGTGAGCTTGTATGTGAGTAGACGGGTAATTTGCAAATATGGAGGATGCCAGCACAGCATCAATTATGAAGAGGCAACAAGACAGCAAAGGCACTGTCAACACACACGGGCACGCACACACACACTTATGCACATATACTGAAATACCTTTGAGGACAATTTATTGAGTTGCAAACGTCCCAAATCCTAGTCGTCGCCACACACCCCAACATTAACCTACAGTAACTGGTTGTATCTTAGATTGTTCTTCTGTTGGTGTTTCAATAAAAAGCAAAAAGATCATGAATCATTTTTTGGCTAATTACACCTCACAGATAAAGGTAAATGTGGTGCACACCTTGGTGGGACAGAGAAGACTCGGAAACAGCTGTTGGACCATCTGACATGAGAACTCCCAAATGAGACCACTACTGATGTACTGATGAGTTCCAGTTCAAACAAGACACTGAGCTCTTTGTCTTTCTGTGAAGCTCACAGGTGAAGAGCAACACATCGATGCCCTCTAGTGGTGATTACTTACATTACAGCATGTCCAAAGTGACTTACAAAAGGTACACCAATCAGCCAAAACATTAAAACCACTGACAGGTGAAGTGATTAACATTCATCATCTAATTACAAATGCAATGTCCTGCTGGGAAACCTTGATTCCTGGCATTCAGGTGGATGCCACTTAACACACATCACCCACACAAACACCGCTGCAAACCAAGTCCACCCCCCTCAAGTATGGCACCATTCGGGAAATGGCCCGAGGAAAGTGACAAAAAGCTCAAGGCATCACCCAGGCCTCCATATTAGCCAGATCCCATTCCAACTGAGCATCTGTAGGACACGACACTACACCATCTTGCAACCTACAGGACTGAAAGAATATGCCACCAACACCCTGGAGCCAGACATCACAGGACACCCCCAGAGGTCCTGTGTCCATGCCTCAACAGGTCAGAGCCAAGTCTGAACCAAGGAGGCTTGACCCTGGATCAGGGGTATCCCTAGGGTAACAGCACATCTCACAGATGCTCTAAGCATTGTGCATTCAAATTTGAATATGTATTTCTCCTCAAAAAGACAGGCAGAAGTGCTTCTTGTTTCAAGAAATGAGGCATAAGTGCTAGCAATTACTGGGCAGCAACAGCACGTTTTAAAATTGAGTGTATGTGTGTGTTGGTGTGTGTGTATGCATGAGTAAAATGAGCACTTTGATGATAGATGGAGCAGATTGCACATTTGTCATTCCCACGATCAATCGCCAACACTCACAGCCGTCTGCTGGCTTGGATGTGCACTTATTCAGACAGTCCTTCCATCCTTCCGGCTTTCTCCTTCTCTCTGTCCTCCACGTTGCCTCCCTCTCTCACCTTATCCTCTCTGTCCCTTTCTTGAGTTTCTTTCATCTTAATCCTTTCTCACACTCCTCTCTCTGTTTCCTCCCTCCCCGTCTCTCTACTCCACTCTTTCTGACATACTTCCTGCGTCTTGATCCTCTCATTATTGTTCTGCGTGTGTGTGTGTGTGTGTGTGTGTGTTTACCTGATCATGAAGTCATGAAGTTCTGTATCAACCTGTTCCAATATAGGCATCAGGTAGTTTAAAATGTGTTTAGTGTTGTCCATGGTAGGATCCATGAAATCCCTACAGACAGAGAAAACACACAGACGTTAAAGAAATATTACTGCAAAATAATTTGAATTCTAAGCTGATTAATATGCCTCAATAGATGGATTTATTAAATGTGTTTTCAACCTGAGATGGTGATTGGACAGAGTGTCCAGCATGGCGATGGCCATCCGCTCCCCGACAACCAGCAGCAGAGTGACGGCCACATCATGGTAGCCTTGGTAGTAATGGAGCTGAGGGGTGCGTTTCAAAACCTCCAGTATGATGTCAATGAGCTGCTCCTGAAGCACAGATCTCTCTGTGGCTGGCATACCTGAGGGACGGCCAAGGATCATAAATATATAACATCTCAATACAGAGAAAAACACATCCAAAAACAATTTAGAAAGGCTTGTGACTGTCTGTGTGGTGAACAGGTAAACACAGATGATCTGACACTATTCTGAGTGCAGATGTGGTATGCTGCATGGTATACATTTAACCTCTTAGTTTTCTTGCACCTTTTAACAGCAAAAAGACAAATCAAATACTGACTTTGTTGAGTGGCTTAGTATACAGAGTGTGTCTAATGTTGTGAGTCCAACTTTACTTCATTCCCCGCTGTTTCTTACAGTTGTTTTTTCTGATAATGTGTTGCTTCCTCCTGGCATAAATATTCACATATAGTCAAAATCGCAATTACCTGGGACTGAACTGGCAGCCTCTCTGTTAAATAAGACACTTTTATCTGTCTCTTTCCCCACATTGTGATTTTAGCTGACAACACAGGTGTCTAGTGACACAAGAATCTTCCCTGGTGCAGCTTTTACTCAGTTCATTAAATATTAAACCTTGTCAGATATCTGCATGTTGATATACGCACGGGGGTTACAGTTTGATAAATGGAACTGTGAGCTTCACTGCTGTCTTCAGAGATACAACACACACACACACACACACACACACACACACACACACACACATTCACCTTTAGGGAACCGCTTCATGGACCTCCTGACATCCAGGACTACTTGGTTGTAGTCCTTGTGGTCCTCCCTAACATCTCGACCTATAACAGCAGAAATGCTATTATTACTGTTGTCAGTATTAGTAATGTTAACAGTAATATGTAGTATACATCTACCCAGTAAATACCAGTATCAATCAACCACTTACCAGGTTTGTTTGGTAGATCGTACACATTGATGTTCAGTAGTTTAGGCCAGACTTTCCTCCTCAGTTCATCAGTGAGCAGTCCTCCCTTACTGGCTGCTGCTCTCCTCAGGGTCTCAATGTCCACTGGATCACTGTCAATTCAAAAGTCAGATTAGGACACTGTTCAGTTCGATGCACTACTTTTAAGTCCGCCAACACGGCAAAAACTCTCCAAGGTAACTGTGTCCATTACGAATAAACTCTCTTCAGGAGTTAATTGTAATTTCTATTGATTTTAGTGCAGTAATGTTACATACCTATGACTCTTAAAAGCATGATGTGACAATAAATTACCTACTGAAATGGATTTTTATGAAGCACAGAATGCTTTAAACTTGGGTGGTATTAAATTCTTCTACAAAGATAGAATTTGAGCATAGATTACCTGCATTCAGGATTTCAAGACTGACTAAATATAAAAGGCATAATATATATAACTTGTATAACTGAATCTAGCTCAAAGAATAACTTGTATAAAAAGCAAAGATCTCTTTGTGCTCAGCTGAGATCTGGTATTCCAACTTTGTCTGGTGACACCAGACGTAACATTAATCTGGACACAGAAAAGCGGATCTGTCAAATGTGTTGTCTAAACAATATACATTAAGTTTCATTTTGTTTTCTACTGTCCTTTTTTATTATGAATATTTGGTTAGTAATATAAAAGTTGTAACAGATTTTGTAAATATGATAGACGCACAAAAGACTGATAACTATTCACATATGAAACGTATAAATTAGCTGGGAGAAAGCCTGGGAGAAGAGGAAAAAATCTTGTTACTGAGATTGAAATCTGTAAATATTTGGTCGTTCCTTATATGAACATTTATTTGGGATATTCTTTTTGTTTTGTTTTTGGTTATTTGTAATTTTCCCCTTTCTTTTTGCACATTTTGTATATTCAAGACTGAGAAGGTTTATGAAAACTAATGGTGTCTTGTAATCCCATATGGGACTGGCAAAATGTTTGGCATGACACTAACAATCAATCTCATTTCCACATAATAGATTCTTCTAATGCACTTTTGCACACTTTCCCATTCGACATGCTTTTTAAAAGGATTTTTTTGACAATTTCACACTCAATAAGTCAAATTCCATTCATTTATCAATTTCTTTATTCACTCCACATCTGTCTGACACTGTGGCAGCACGATGTGTGTCCACATGTCTAAGTCATATGGACAGAGAAAACTGTATTTCTTGTGCAATTAAATGTGAATTCACAAAATCAGCCTGCTCAGTTCTGCATTAGCTTTCCTGTGCCATTTCTCCATCAAGTCCCACATGCTTCCTGACACTAATGTCTTCATGATCCTCGTCACACTATTCCTCTGCGCTCATGTGAGTAATCTTCATGTGTGAAATTAGCTTAGCAAGGAGTGATGAAGGTCACTAACTAGGGATAAATGCATACCATCTAATTGTGGAACAGCAAACACCAGAGGGAGGAGCTTTCCCACCTGGGAAACACATCCTGTGGCCAACTGCTCTAGTGCTTAACGGAGGCATTTTGTATGATGGAAACTGTCAATTTTTTTTGTTGAGATTTGTAGAAATATATTAAGGCAGATTTTTAAGGAAAGCTATTGTGGGGTGAGAACCTTGTATCTACTGGGCAAACCTGAACACCCAGAGTCTTGTGTTCATTCACTGTTCTGGTGCTCTTTCAGTTTTATTGATCACAATAGCTAAATTTTATGTATTTGTCTGTAAGTATTTCTCATAAATCTTCTCATAATAAATATAACTGCAATCCAGAACATGTTTTAACAAAATGTGACAAATTCCTGAAAGGGAAAATTAATTAATTAATCGTGAATTGATTAATTAATTGATCTCTTCCTGGATGCCAATCAGAGCACAAGGAAGAGAAAGCATTCTTAACAAGCAACTGCAGCAGATAATTATCATTTTAACCTGATCAAAGCCTGATGGATCTCAGCCAACTTCTGTTTCCTCCCACAGTCCTGTTCTGTAAAAAAAGGACAGAGATGAGGAAGAAAGAAAAGAAATACATGTCAGAAAAGGAGGGATGAAATATAAAAGTGAACATTTTGGAGGAATTAAAAAGGACAGCACAGTATCATGTTGATGTCACAGAGGGTAGCAATCACATACTTGAGACACACATACAGACACACATTTACAAAAACAGTTTTTAGGTTTGGGACAAATAATAAACACACAATTAATGGATGTAATACATTAACTGTAAAGTGTCACTGTTTTTCTTCAACATTTAAAGCAGTGGTTCCCAACCTTCATCCTTAAGAGACCCCTTTCCTGGTGCTGAGTGAACTGATGACCCCTGACTAAGTGACTTATCTTATGGATATTTTATATTATATTCAATGCATTACAATAACAGCACAGAAAAAACTGCTAAACTGTGCAATTAAACCAAACCGTGAATGCATAAACTGCAGAAGTTTGTGTAAGACACGCAATTTGGGTTAATTTTGAGCAGATTATGTCCTGTGAGTGTTGCATTAGAGATTAGTTTTCCTGATAATTTTACAAACCTTTACGCCTTCTTTTTTGACAAATTAAGTTTTTTCTTGTCCCTGATGCTTGCCCATTGTTCTATTAGCTCTTTGACTGTTTTAACGGTGTACTTTTCTAATGCTGAACAAGGCTGTGTAGCAGAAAGTGAAAGCACTGTGACTATAGCTTGTGTTCACGTCATCACTGCACAGTTATCCTATAAGTTGAATCTTGAATAATAAACATATTAATCGTCTCTTACATCCTATAAAATCAAGACCACCTCGTGACCCCAGTTGGACCCCCAAGATGGGAACCAGTGATTTGAAATATAACTTTTACAAGAACATTTGCTAATTTTGTAGAACAGACAGAATAGATTTGAAATGTTACCTCGTTCAGTTACTATTGAATGATTCTTTTGACTAACCCATTTAGTCATGAAAACAATGCTGCCATAGCAATGATGAATTACTAACTGATCATAATGACTCATTAATATAACCACAGTTATCATATGTGTGCTCCTGAATGCAGTGAGTTGGAACACATTCAAAATAAGGTGTTAAATGTTAACATAGCTTAAAGAGTTCATCCTAAATTCAGTGTTGAGTGCAGCCATCTTCCATCTTCCTCTGTCTGTCTGCCAGATGCAACTTTCCCAACTGTACAAGTTGGCTGACAGGCTGCCACGCAAGCACCAGTGGCATACAAGAGGCCAATGTTTACTTAGGCAACAATGTAAACAAAAGGGCAACAGACGGTTAGATACAGGTTAGGACGACAGTTGACAACTCGTGATTCGTGTTAAGTGGTTTGTGTCAGCTGGCTGCAGTGATAGTATTAAGTTCACTGGCATTTCGCCACATAAGACTCGACTGGTCAAGTTTCTGTCTGACAACTACACGCACGGAATATAGATATATGAATATACAGGGTGGTTATGATGTTACAATTAGCGTTAGCTTTGCGTGGCTAGCCTGTATGTATGTTTAGAGTACGTTTATTAAACACTACCTAACGTTAGCTAACATGATCTGTTGATTGACTTACCTCTTGTGACAGATCCATTCCCATTCACTCCAGCTCCTGCGTTTTGTTTCTTCCTCTTGAGCCTTTTCATCCCCTTTAAAAGTTCACAACCAAATGACGAAGTCTGTGTTGTGCCATAAGCAAGTTAACAAATAAAAATATGTCTCTTAATAGGTAAAAACAGTGATAATATTTGGCTATACGTGAACGTTTCCCTCAACAGCTGTCCCTGAGAGAATCAACCTAACATCGAATCTCCACGCTACGCTGTGATTGGACAGACATGACATGTGATCCAGTGCACGAATACTATTGGCTGTCATCGACTAGCACTGCAAGAAGACTTGACTGTAGTTTTGTAGTGATATTTGAACAGCGTGGGCACAGCGTGCTTATTGTATTTAGTTTAGTTTTATTTTATTTTATGATGACTTTCACTTGATGATAACGTGATTAGAGACACAATTATTTAATCTATGTTTTCACCATTTTCATTTTCAAGACGACAGTACAATGCTAAGTAACAGCTGACTGCTGGGAAAGATAGAATATTAGTGTGAACAATAAATAATAACATGTTAATGTGATAGTGTAAATGGACCTCTAAGTGCATGTGATATGTGCAATATTTTTTTCTTTTTCTGTCTCTTTTCTTAGTGAAAAAATATACCTAATCACACAACCTAATCACACAAAATAACACTGACATGAAGCACTTGCTTGTGATACACATGAAGCACTTGCTTCATGTGTATCACAACACGGCAAAAACACAGTGCCTACTGAAACTACTGATATTTTTTAATTGGTTTATGTTTGATTAACCTTAATTTATTGGACTGGATTAAAGTGTAAAGGTGGAATCTGTGTTGCAAAGGCATGATTGTACTCACAGTAAAGCTATGTTAATAGAGCCATATAGTGCTGATGCAGGGGAAATCCTTGGTCTGAATGCTCCCAATTTGCTTCTGCAAACCAGTTTCCTGGATGTGGGGTGAAGGGTCATTTAAGGGCATACAGAAGCCTTACTGCAGTTTAATGCTGCCCTGAGTGTTGCCTCTCAGGTCATGAGTGGTTGTCCAAACACCATCTACAGCTTTGGATCCAATAAACAAATACCACATTTAAGTAAAGACAGGACTTCTTCTCCAGACTACAAGAAGACCAAAACTGGAAAAGGTGTGATTCTAGGAGGAACACGTGCATAAGTATGCAGTATTTGCACAAGTATTTAGGTCTAATGGGTGGATTTAATGGGTCGTGGGGATCCTTCAGTTACTTGCCTCCCGTGCACATTCTGCTTTACTGTCAATCCATGCAGCCATACTATTACCAACAACTTAATCAGATGCTTATTTGTTAGTTGGTGGTGGTTGTGTTGGGAGTAAAGCTGTCTGAGCGGCTAACCTCATGAAACAATCAGAATCGGATTTAGTGACTGTAAATAAGGTTTAATGCCAAGTAAGTTGCCTTTGTGTTTGAGTGCAGGAGAAAATAACAATAATAAGCAAAGTCAAAGAGCATGAAAATAAAAGAGAAAAATCACAATAAAAATATGAAAAAAATACCACGAAAAACAAACAGTGTACTTATTTAGTGTTTATATGATCAATGAGTAAATAATACAACAAAATCACCATAAATGCATACATTTAAATTAGCTAAGGTATATTTTCCTCTATGATAGGCTGTCAAAGGATTATGGGAGCTGTAGTTGTTGACGGTTGATGAAATTATATCCTCTAACAGTTATGTTATGTTACACACACAATAAATGTCATTGTTCATACCCCGCAGTTTATATGCAGTATATGTTCATGGGCTAATCCGGAAGTGGGTTCAGATTTATGTTCGATGGGGGGATGTCAGTTGAAAACACAGACCTGGCAACCCTTGTGACAATTGCAATTTGAACTGTAGTGGTGATGAAACGTCTTATCATTCATAAGCAGCACCGCCGACACGACTTGGGACTATTCCTTCAGCTCTGGGTGTAACGCAGCGGATGGAAACAAAGACACAAGTGACCGCAGGCTGACCAGTGATGTCAGGCAGGTAAAAACTGCGTGATTGAAGCCGCTGAAATGAGCGACAGAGCCGAAATGAAAGGGCCCGCAACCCGCCGGAGGAGGACGACCATCTCCGGTGCTGCTGGTGCTGCGCCGCCGCCAACGGCCAAACAAGCCAACGGGAGCAAGTGGCACGATGCCGGGCAGAAACCCCCACAGTGTCCCGCTAAAGCCAAAATAGGCGAGGTGTCCAGGTATGCGAGTAACAACGGGAAGGTGGACAGAGAGGCGGACAGACACATGACACACAGTCCGAGGAGACAGAAGACTATGGTGGAAGATATTAACGAGAGACTCAGGTAACGCTTAAAGCTACGGTGACTTACAGCTATTTTTCATATTAACATTAAAGCTGTCCTACTGTGTTCATTTACAGCATGTCTCATGTAGACCAGTGTTACTTATCCCCATGATATCTCGATTTATTTTGGATATTCTTGGGCTAATTACCTTTATCACAGAGGTTTAATTAGCCTGTCTGTCAGAGGGTTGTCCTCAGATTAAAGGGGGGCACTTTAATGACAAAAACAAAGATACTGTCACCTTTAATTGCATACTGATATACAAAATAACTTTGCCTTGAGGACTGGGACATCACCTTCCATGTCCAACACCTTCCTTTGAACAAAGTAAAACTTTCTTACCTACATGTTAGTGGTATTTAACTACCACAGCTGTGGGTTAGAGCCAGGCAACATGGAGAAAATCAAATATCACAATATTTTTGACCAAAATACTTCAATATCAATATTGCAAACATAGGGTTGACTATTGGTGCTTTTGCACAATTATCACAGAGATTTTTAATAAATTGTCACCAGTAATGTGGATAAAATGAGTGAGTAAAGGCAAATAATGGAACAGTTAGATCAGTTAAATTCAGATTATTACTTCTTGACTTGCCTTTAAAACCATGAAAAGAATGGTCACAATACTTACGATATTACAGTCTCCAAAATATGTCAATGTCAATGTCTTTTGATGGTGTAAAACCTGCTTTGCATAGACATGTCAGTGTAGCACCTGGAAATAATAAGGAAATGTAGACTTACTTATAAAATGCTATGATAATCAGGCATTGTGGATTTAACAGTGGGTGTTCGTGTGTGTGTGTAAAGGGAGGTATTATTACAGCTGCTTTGCTTTCCCTGAAACTTTTACTCTGTGAAACAGAGAGGGGTAGCTGTAAGTCTGGATACATGTCAAGAGAATAAATAGTTTGTACAAGTGCGACAGTCACAATAGCCTGACCCTTACCCTAAACAATTTATGATAACACACCCACTTCTCCAGATAAGTCTTTACCTTTGAAAACATGCATTTCTATAGGAGTGAAGCCGGTTCTACCCATTGTTGTAATCTGCCAAGAACAGATGCAAAGATTGGTCCTGCAGACTGGATGATTTGTCCATGTGTAGTGTCACTTTCCTGTATTACAGCAACTGTGAAACAACAATGGCATGTGCTTTCGCAATCCTGTGCCTGCTTACTACGGTTTTGGCTGCACGTTCCTCTGCTGGTCTGGTCTTGCTGTTTGTGTCCTGGTACTCACTGAGGAAAGTTTGCTCTGTGTAAACACTGCTTCCCTTCGTTACTGTACTGAAGCCACCCCTGTCTCTTCACCTCATTTTACCTGGCTTCCTTGCGTACCTGTCTCTGTTTAATACTGCAGTATCCTCCACCTTATCTATCTGTGTACTTTCTCCTCTTACTTCTTTTCAGATTCTCCCTCCTTCTTGCTTTACATTCTTTCCTTCCTGCTCCTTGATTGACTCAACCTTTGCTTTCATCTCCTCTCTGATTTGTCTCTGTCATCTGTGATTGTGTAAAACTTATTGCCTGATGACTGAACCCACTTTTCACAATCCCCTGTGGACAATCGGGTCAATACCCTTGACCTGAATTTTCACAACTCTTTGATTGCTTGATGCACTTTCAGTACTTTTTCACTCCATTATATACATTTTGTTGCAATAAAAATGACTGAAGTGAGACAAACAGACTGAAAATTTTACCTTATTAGATAAAACATTTGACAAAGTTCTCCATTGGGGACATAAGTTGCAGTTGGGAAAAAAGTAATGGTAATGGAAAGGTAATAATCACAATATACCACAATATTTTTTTTATCTTTTATGCAGTTAATGCAATACTCAGTATATTGCAAAACATTTGAAATTGCAATAATATTGTATTACGACTTAACTATTGTGATAATATCATATCGTGGAGCCTCTGCTGATTCCCACCACTAGCCTCTATGTTTTGGAAGTGCTGCCAAATTCTTGCTTTACAGCCAGGAAAGTCTGATACAGTGCATGTGTCAAACAAACCAACACAAAACAGACAGTTAATGAATAGAAATACTTAAATATTTTACAAGCAAAGGTCTGGTAAAATGTGAAGTTTATTTTTACCATGTTGGTCAGTACATGCCGCACCCTAACTTTAACTGTAACCCTGACCCCACGAGTGACTATTCTGCAGCCTCTAAACTGAATACGAACATCATACCAACATCAAAATTAATGTTTAATTTCAAGATACAGTTGAATCTTTCCTTAGCAGTGGTTTGAGAGTGTCCAGAGGGTTGCACCCAGTTACATAATCCTCGAGCTCATGGAGACAAACAGGCAGAAAGGAATGCAAAGAGCTTGATCGACCCTAAAAACCATCAATTAAACTGTTGACTCTGTGTTTCCATGCAGTTGCCACGTCCTCCAGGAGTCTCTCTTGAGTTCGGCCAGTGGCTACAGCAACTACAGAGGAATCCTTAACTGGTGTGTTGTCATGCTGGTGAGTCAAACTACGTGTCTGTTCAGAAGTGAAAATGTGCTGCATTGTGACTTCCACAAACTGCATGTCATTAGTAATGCAGTACCCCGGCACATCTGTTGCTCCAAACGCCATCAAACTGTGACACACACATCTTGTCTGTTTGAGTTGTCTGTGAGGAGTCTGATAAGTCGTCTTTAACGTTATCTCATTACATACATGCACAGTTACTCCCACATGGCATGGTTTGCTGTTTCCTGTACATTCTCATTTCTACAACTTTGATTAAGAGGGTTGATTAGTTACAGTTAAAGAGTGTACTTTATGAGTCGAACTTTCACTCTCATCACACTTTTTGTTAGATGCACATATATTCAGGGTGTTCTGGTGTAC